GTACTGATGTAAAATTTTAAAACAAATGAGTATGTACATATGTAATACATAAGGGAGAAAGGAAAGGCTCTACTCCACAGTAGCCTGCTAAAGAATAAATCCAGAATAAAGGAAAAAAAATTTTTTTTTGAGACTGAATCTCACTGTCATCCAGATTGGAGTGCAGTGGTGCCATCTCAGCTCACTGCAACCTCCACCTCCCTAGTAGATGGGACAACAGGCGTGCGCCGTCCTGCCCAGCTGATTTTCGTATTCTTAGTAGAGTCGAGGTTTCGTCATGTTGGCCAGGCTGGTCTTAAACTACTGACCTCAGATGATCCACTTGCCTTGGCCTCCCAAAGTGCTGGGATTACAGGCATGAGCCACTGCACCCGGCCAGAATAAAGGAAATTTTTTAAAGATATTTTAACTTTAAATATTTAAATATCATAAGATATCTGGCAACTACCACAATAATAGATTCTGGCAATAATCATTAATGGGTGCTAACTCCATGGGTGAACAAATGGTGGGGATCAGGAATATTATAATACCAAGGTATCTCCCCACAAAATATTTTTAAATAATTATATATTCAATATTTTAAATATTTCCTGTGCTATACTTAAATGGAAAAACCTGGCAGACACCATCTTAACCAGGTGATAAAACACAACAACAGTAACAACAAAATCATCATGTCTACTTAATATGATGCGCTGTGACGGACACAGCAACACCCCTGTCGTGTTCCTGTCAAAAAGGCATAACTCACAAGACATCAGATAAACCCAAATCACCCCAAACTTAGGGACATTCTACAAAGTAACTGGCTTACACTTTTTTTTTTTTTTTTTTTTGTAGAGACAGGGTCTGGCTGTTGCTCAGGCTCAAATGACTCTCGTGCTCAGCTTCCCAAAGCACTGGTATTACCATACCCAGCCTGTCTTCTTGAAAAGTGTCAAGGTCATGAAAGACAAGGACTGTTTCCGAATAAAGACAACTAAGGAGAAATGATAACTAAAGGCACTACATAATCCTGGACTGATAAAGAACAGTATTGGCTCAAATCAATGAAATGTGAATGGAGTTGGTAGATTAGATCGTAGTATCTGATCAATGTTAACTTCTTAATGATGGTTATATGGGAGTGTCCTCATACTTAAAAATGTACACCAAAGAATTAAGATGTAATGAGGCAACACATCTGCAACTTATTCTTTAATAGCTCAGAAACATTAACAATTGGGTAATCTGGGTGAAAGAAGTTATACATGCTATTTCTGTTAACTTTTATGTAAATATCAAGTTATTTTAAAATGAAAAGTTAAAAAGTTAACGACATAACATAATAGAACATAAACCATTAAATAAATCTGAGTCCAGGCTGGGCACGGTGGTTCATATCCGTAATCACAGCACTTTTGGAGGCCAAGGTGGACAAATCACTTTGAGGTCAGGTGTTTGAGACCAGCCTGGCCAACATGGCGAAACCCCATCTCTACTAAAAATACAAAAAATCAGCTGGGCATGGTGGCATGCACCTGTAGTCCCAGCTACTTGGGAGGCTGAGGCAGGAGAATTGTTTCAACCAAGGAGGCGGAGGTTGCAGTGAGCCGAGATTGTGCCACTGCACTCCAGCCTGCTTGGGCTACAGACTCCGTCTCGAAAAATAAGCAAATAAATAAATAGAAAAGAAATCTGAGTCCATACTAACTAAATGAAGAGTAGCAGATTAATAAACAAAATGACAAAAAAAAAAGTAATGACAGAATTAAAAAATCATATTGTAGAAATGATTGACGCAAGCAAGGATTATCAATGGATGGTAAAAACATTGGGTGGAAGCTTGATGAACAATTTGCATAGTCACAAAGTATCTCCCCATAACTTGCTTTTTAATTACAAAAGGAAAGTAACTGCAGTAGAGACCTGGAAGATACCACCTTAATCAAGTGATCCAAGTTACACCAATAAAGGGACTCGGCATCATTAGTCTACTGATGTGTGCAATGAATAGGACATATTGTTTACATAGTATTTATATCAGAATTGCATGAACTGAATCTAGTCATGAGGAAATATCAAACAAAACTAAATTAAAGGACTCACCTGTTCTCTGCAGATGTGTCAGTGTCATGAAAGACAAAGAAAATCTAGGGAACTGTTCCAGATTAAAAGAGACAAAAGAGACTAAAAGAGATGTGATAACTAATGCAATGCGTAACTAGGGTGGAGATAGCTATAAAGGATATTAATGGAACAATCTGGCAAAGATTGAATACGAGTATATTAGATAATACTAAATGTTAAATGTAATGGGATAATGTTCTGTGACTGTATAATGTTTAAAATACTCTAGTCCTTCTAAGTTTTGTTTTCCATGGTTTCAGCTGCCCACAGTCAACTGTGGTTCGAAAATATTAAATGGAAAATTCCAGAAATAAACAGTGGGGGATGCTCTAAAACCCTTAGTGGATGCCTGAATCCATGGATACCACCAAACCCTATATATACTATGTTTTTTTCTATACATAATATCTGTGATAAAGTTTAACGTATAAATTAGGCATAGGAAGAGATAATAATAAAAACAACTACAACAATATGTTGACATCACTGTTCTTGCCCTTTGGGGCCATCATTAAGCAATGTCAGGATTATTTGGATAAAAGCACTACAGGCTGGGTGAAGAGGCTCATGCCTGTAATCCCAGCACTTTGGGAGGCCTAGGCAGGCAGGTCACTTGAGGTCAGGAGTTCCAGACTGGCCTGGCCAACATGGTGAAACCCCCGTGTCTATTAAAAATACAAAAATTAGCCGGGTGTGGTAGTCTCAGCTACTTGGGAGGCTGAGGCCGGAGAGTTACTTGAACCCAGAGGGCAGGGGTTGCAGTGAGCCATGACCATGGTACTGCATTCCAGCCTGGGTGACAGGGCAAGACTCTGTCTCAAAAAAAAAAAGCTAAACAATACTGCAACAGTTGATCTGATTACCCAGATGGCTACCCACTGACTAACGAATGGTGAATGAATACAGTATGGATACACTGGGTAAAGGAATGATTCCTGTCCTGGGTGGAATGGAATGAGATTTCATCACAACATTCAGAAGAAGTTGTAGAAATAGAGGAAAACTGAAGATAAAGGCATTTTGATAAAATAGCCCCAAAACGACTAAATCTTCTCTTAATGAGCCATTGAGGCCAGGTGTGGTGGCTCACTCCCGTAATCCCGGCACTTTGAAAGGCCAAGATACGTGGTTCACTTGAGGTCAGGAATTGGACACCAGCCTGGCCAACATGGTGAAACCCTGTCTTTACTAAAAGTACAAAAAAATTGCACCTGTAATCCCAGCTATTCAGGAAGCTGAGGCATAAGAATTGCTTGAACCCGGGTGGTGGAGGTTGAAGTAAGCCGAGATCACAACACTACACTCCAGCGTGGGTGACAGAGCAAGACTTCGTCTCAATAAAAAAATAAAATGAATACTGGCCAGGCGTGGTGGCTCACGCTTGTAATCCCAGCATTTTGGGAGGTTGAGGTAGGTGGATCATGAGGGCAGGAGTTCAAGACCAGCCTGGCCAAGATAGTGAAACCCCATCTCTACTAAAAATACAAAAAATTAGCTGGGCGTGGTGGTGGGCGCCTGTAAACCCAGCTACTCCAGAGGCTGAGACAGAGAATTGTGTGAACCTGGGAGGTGGAGGTTATAGACAGCCAACATAGCGCCACTGCACTCCAGCCTGGGTGACAAGGTGAGACTCTATCTCAAAATAAATAAATAAATAAAAATAAATAAAATTAAAAAGTAATTAATAAAATAAAAGAATGGTATACAATTTTCAACTTACAAATGATTTCTGGAATGTTTTATTTCGAACCACACTTGACCATGGGTAACAACACTTTTGCTTAAGTTTCACAGATTATCACGAATTTAAATTAAATATAAAAACAAAAACGCCTCAATATAGAAAAAGTTTGAGTGAAAGATAAATCATGTATTTAAAGTTAGCATAACAAACAGGCCAGGCTCAGGTGGCTCCTGCCTCTAATCTCTGGGCTTTGGGAGGGTGAGGCTGGAGGATCACTTGAGCCCAGTAGTTCAAAGCTGTAGTGAGTTATGATCCCACAACTGCAATCCAGCCTAGGTGACAGAGCGAGCCCATCTCTAAAAATAACAAAAGACATAAACAAAAAAAATACAAACTAAAATAATAAAAATAAGCACGGTTAGTACAACAAAATGTGTTTGATAAGCTTCAAATAAATCTTTGAATTGCTTCCCCTGCCTTTCAACTCATTTTTCTTTTTTTTTTTTTTTTTTTTTTGAGACGGAGTCGTCTTGCTCTGTTGCCCAGGCTGGAATGCAGTGGCTCGATCTCAGCTCACTGCAATCTCCACCCCCCGGGTTCAAGTGATTCTCCAGCTTCAGCCTCCCAAGTAGTTGAGGTTAAAGGTGCACGCCACTACGCCCAGCTAAGTTTTATATTTTTAGTGGAGGCGGCATTTCACATGTTGGCCAGGATGGTCTTGATCTTCTGATCTCATGATCCGCCCGCCTCGGCCTCCCAAAGTACGGGGATTACAGGCCTGAGCCAGCAAAGATTTAATCCCCGTATTCAGAATGCTGGATGCCTTATGCTGCCAATAGGTCTCGTATCAAAATCAACTACTTCTCTTCAATCTGCTCTGAAATTTTAACTGCCCTGGAAAGCTCTGAATTGCACATAGTCCCTATTAACATTCCACTGATCTCTGTTATCCAATACCCAAACCAACTAATGAGGAATTCGCAATTTTATTATGTTCCAGAAACCGGAGTTAAAAATCAATAAATTCAAGATGATAATGGGAAAATTCTGGGGGTTTTCAAAAAATAAAATCACCACACTGTAAGAGATACTAACTAGCAATCTTTTAAAATACAATTTTAGCGTACTTAAACATTAAACCTTTGAACGCGTAAAGCTGCATGACCCAATTTCATTAGGTACTATTAATGATAATGGTACCTACCCAGTATCTCCCAATCCATGAAGGAAAATCACCTATAAGAGAAGAGGAAAAATTAATAAGCAATGCTTAAATAAGCCCACACAGAATTGTTACACACTAGTTTGTTTAAGGTGGAAAACGGAATGAAACCTATGAGGGAATTTACACACCACTATCTTCGGCAACTTTTATTTCCATTGGCCTCTTTTAAATGGCAAAAATTCCAATCAACTTCTCTCCCTTTATTTCCGGAGATAATGAATGGGGGAAGGGGGTTAGCACTCAGAGGTCCCAGTTAGGCATTCTGCACATTCTAAGAAAAACTGTTTCTCTCTTTCAAGTCAAATCCGGAACATCTCACATATCCTGTAGAATTTTTCCATCGCAAAAGCAAGCTTCCGCGGACAAAAATAAGTTTGGGTTCTCATTCACGAGTTTCCTAAAAAACAGTACCTCTGACCATACAGGACAGCAAATCTTCAAACTTCTTTCCTTGAGGACAAGACTGCGAGGTGACAATAAAGCGATTTCCTGGAGGACTTAGGTTTCCCTCGCCCACACACCAGGCAGAAACACGCTGCAGCAGCGGACGCCGTGCCCCGGGCCCGGCCGGGCCGCGGGGGTCCCGGGGCCGCGCTCCCTCCGCAATGCAGGGCCGGGTGGCCGGGGGCTGGCCCTCGCGCCGGCTGCGACCCCCGGCTGCCCCCACCACACCCCGCGGACCCCGCTGCGCCGACCACCCGCACCCCACCCGGGCCGGGAGGAGCGTCCTCGCCAGCAGGCCGCCACCCGCCCGCAACGCCCACCCCGCGCGAGGGGCAGCCGCTGGTGGCGGGCCCCGTGGGCCCATCCGAGCCCACGCCTACGCCACTCACCGCGGCGGTGGCCTTCCGGGCGGCGGGGACGACGGCGGGCAGCTGGGCTGACATGTTATTGCCGCACATACACCGGCTCAGCTCACACAGCAAGCGGAAGGAACAGCGGGCGCCCTGCCCCGGCCCAAGGGCGTGCGAGCGGCGAGTCGCGGCCGGCCCCACCGGGCGCGCGCTCAGGAGCGGCGCGCTTCCTTCCGCCTGCTCCGCGCGCGCCCCCGCGTCCACCGTCTGTCCTGCCCTGCCAGTCCCCCACCTCCCCTCCCTCCGCTCGTCACAGAGTCCGGGCGGCTTCCTCCCTCTGATTGGCTGCGACGGCAGCGCGGACCGGGCTGAGCTTTCTCCCAGCCACGCGGCCCGCGCATGCTCCTTGCTGTCTGGGGAAATGCGCTCTCAGGTGCCGGGGTAGGGATGGTCTCCTGGATCCTGGCTTAGGCTTTCTCTTTTCTGGCTCTGTAGTGAAAAGAACGAGCCCCAGAGCCAATTCACTCAACCCCAGCTGCTTTTTGGTTTCCTGAGGCCAGGGTCTATTATTTGTAAAACTCTGGATGGACTGGGAGAGGCTGGTGGGGCTTTTGCAGTATTTTTGTTTGGGGCTACACCACTATGTAGATTTGGGGTCAGCTTCCCTTCTTTAAACTTTAGTTGGAAAGGAAAACATTTGTCACCAGAAATCCTTAAATTGATCGACAATACTTATTGATGGACGGATATTGACACAGTACAGATTTAAGCGCGGAACTGGACTGCCCTTTTGTGCACAGGTGCCTTTACGGCCTAAAGTGTAGTTTACTCACAAATGTATTGCATCTCTAATACGTGGTAAGATCTGGGAGAAGGCACGAGACAGAAACACTTAAAGCCAAAATGCCCCGACCTTCAGAAGTTTACAATTCAGTGAAAAAACTCAAAGGACATACTGAATACAATCCTTAGAGTATGACTGGGAAGGAAAAACACCACCACCCTGGCCGGGCGCGGTGGCTCACGACTGTAATCCCGGCACTTTCGGAAGCCGAGGCTGGCAGATCACGAGGTCAGGAGATCGAGACCAGCCTGACCAACATGGTGAAACCCCATCTCTACTAAAAATACAAACATTAGCTGGGCTTGGTGGCGTCCGCCTGTAATCCCAGCTACTCAGGAGGCTGAGGCAGGAGAATCGCTTGAACCCAGGAGGGGGGTTCAGCCTGGACGGCAGAGTGAGAGTGAGACTCTGTCTCAAAAACAACCAATGTCGGAGGTGTCAGGGGCGTGTGAACCAGAGCGACTCCATCTTTTTTTTTCTTTTATCAGATGGAGTCTCATTCCGTCGCCAGGCTGGAGTCCAGTGGCGCGATTTCAGCTCACTGTAACCTCCGCCTCCGGGGTTCAAGCAATTCCCCTGCCTCAGCCTCCTGAGTAGCCAAGACTACAGGCGCACGTCACCATGCCTGGTTATTTATTATTAATTTTTTTACATTGAGTTTTTCTACTATTTTAGTAGAGATGGGGTTTCACCGTGTTGGCCAGGATGGTCTCTATCTCCTGACCTCGTGATCCTCCCGCCTCGGCCTCCAAAAGTGCTGGAATTACAGGCGTGAGTGACCGCCACCGGCCAACTCCATCTCCATCTTAAACAGGAGCTGAGTGAAATGAGGCTGAAACCTACTGGGCTGCATCCCCAGAGCTTAAGGCATTCTAAGTCACAGGATGAGTTAGAAAATCAGCCTAAAATACAGGTCATAAAGATCTTGCTGATAAAACAGTTTGCCATAAAGAAGCCGGCTTTACTGACCTCTGGCGCTTCTCACTGCTGCATTTCCATGAACGCTATGACAGTTTACGAATGCCATGGCAATGTCAGGAAGTTACCCTCTATGGCATGAATAATCCATCCCTTGTTTAGCATATCATCGAGAAATAAACATAAAAATGGGCAACATGTTATGGAGTAGCCATTCTGTTATTCCTTTACTTTCTTTCTTTTATTTGTGAGCCAGCCTCGCCCTGTCACCTAGGCTGGAATGCAATCTCGGCTCACTGCAACTTCCACCTCCTGGATGCAAGCGGTTCTCCTGCCTCAGCCTACCGAGTAGCTGGGATTACAGGCGTCTGCCACCACGCCCGATTAATTTTTTGTATCTTTAGTAGAAATGGGGTTTCACCATGTTGGCCAGGCTGGTCTCCAACTCCTGACCTCCTGATCTCCCCGCCTCAGCCTCCCAAAGTGCTGGGATTACAGGCTTGAAGCCACCGGGACCCGCCTATTCCTTAATAAATTTGCTTTCACTTTACTGTATGGACTTGCCCTAAATTCTTTTTTTTTTTTTTTTTTTTTTTTTTTTACACACAGTTTTTCACTCTTGTTGTCCAGGCTGTAGTGCAATGTAGATACCTCCGCTCACTGCAACCTACACCTCCCAGGTTCAAGTGATTCTTTGACCTCAGCCTCCTGAGTAGCTAGAATTACAGGCATGTGCCACCATACCCAGCTAATTTTCTGTTTTTATTAGAGACCGGTTTCTCCATGTTGGTCAGGCTGGTCTCGAACTCTCAACCTCAGGAAATCCACCAGCCTCAGCCTCTCAAAGTGCTGGGATTATAGGTGTGAGCCACCACTGTCTGCCCAACCCTGAATTCTTTCTTGCGTGAGATCAAAGAGCCCTCTCTTGCGGTCTGGATCTGGACTGGTTTCCTGTAAACCAGCGTTGTGAGGGATTTGGGGTCTTAAACTGTTTTTAATCATTCTTGTGGATTAGATTTGGACAATGTGAATTTTGTGGATTCTCCAAAAGTTTTAAATTGATGCCAATTTATCGAAAATGATACAGCTGGATTCACATTTCATATACTTGTGTACATTTCTATCAGGCTAAGGCATTTAGTTGTGATGTTAATGTTACCAGAAAGGGAACCCAGTGCCAAGAGAAGATTATTGGATCTCTGGCAAGAAAGAATTTGGGTTCATAGAGTGAAGTGAAAGCAAGTTTATTAGAGAAGCAAAAAAGTAAAAGAATGACTACTCTGTAGGCAGAGCAGGACTAGGGGCTGCTGGACTGAATATACTGATAGTTATTTCTTGCTTATACATTAAACAAGGGGTGGATTATTCATGAGTTTTCTGCTAAACGGGCAGAGATTCCTGGAACTAAGGGTTCCTCTTTTGACCATATGGGTTTCCCTACCTGGCCCTGGCATTTGGAAACTGTCACGGAGCTGACGGGAGTGTCTTTTAGCATGCTAATACATTATAATAAGTGTATAATGAGCAGTGAGGTCGACCAGAGGTCGCTTTCCTTCCCATGTTGGTTTTGGTGGGTTTGGGCTGGATTCTTTACTGCATCCTGTTTCATCAGCAGGGTCTTTATGACCTGTGTCCTGTGATACCAATCTCATCCTGTGGCTAAGAATGCCTAACCTCCTGGGAATGCAGCACAGCGGGTCTCGGCCTCATTTTAGCTGCCTCCATTCAAGATGAAGCCACTCTGGTTCTAATGCCTCTCACGTTAACTCAGGAAATAAAACTCTCTAGTTCATACTGTGAACATGTTTCAGATCACTATTACGCTGAGTTTTTCTATGATGTAATAAGTAGAGAGTTCTAGGGGCCACCAATCGTTCTATTAATTTACTCCATTAGTGGGAAGCAGGACAGTTCAAGTTGAGGTGTCTATGCTGCTATACCTGCAACATTTACCCAAGTTATGTATCCTCCAAGGAGCTTTCTATGGAAATGATCTCTCTCTTCCCCAGGTAAGGGAATTAAATAAATATAATAATTGAAAAAGACAAAATTATCCTTTATTTAGAGGATATGATTTGTACAAAGCAAAAACATAATAAGAGCATTTAAAAATTACTAACCAGGCTGGGTGTGGTGACTCACACCTGCCATCCCAACAGTTTGGGAGGCTGAGGTGGGAGGATTGCTTGAGTCCAGGAGTTCAAGATCAGCCTAGGCAACAGGCTGTCTACAAAAAATTAAAAGAAAAAATTTTAATTTTTCCTGTCTACAAAAAATTAAAAAGAAAAAATTAGCTGGGCTCAGGAGGCTTTGGCAAGGGTGTCACTTGAGCCCAAGAGGTCCAGGCTGCAGTGAGCCTTGTTTATGCCACTGCACTCCAGCCTGATGATACAGCAAGACCCTGTCCTCACCTGCCCCCACAAAATAAAAATTTCTGACAAGAAAATTCGATAATAAGGCCAGGCACGGTGGTTCACGCCTGTAATCCCAGCACTTAGGGAGGCCCAGGTGGGCGAATCAAGGGGTCAGGAGTTCAAGACCAGCCTGACCAACGTGGTGAAACCCTGTCTCTGCTAAAAATATAAAAATTAGTTAGTTGTGGTGGCACAAGCCTGTAATCTCAGCTACTCAAGAGGCTGAGGCAGGAGAACCACTTGAACCCAGGAGGCAGAGGTTGCAGTGAGCCTAGATGGGCCACTGCACTCCAGCCTGGGCAACAGAGTGAGACTCTGTCTCAAAAAAAAAAACAAAAAGGAAAAATTAGTAATATAACCAATTACTAAATCAATATACGAAAAGGAATGGTTATTCTAGCTACAAACAATAGCTGGTTATAATATGTAAATGGAAGAGAAATATTCACAACAGGAATTAAAAAAAATAAATACAGACCAGCCTGAGCAATGAGCGATAGAGTGAGACTATTGCCAAAAAAAAAAAAAAAAAAAAAAAAGGGCGGGGGAAGTGGCTCATTCCTGTAATCCCAGTACTTTGGGAGGCTGAGGTGGGTGGATCACCTGAGGTCAGAGAGTCTGAGATCAGCCTGACTAACATGAGAAACTACATCTGTACTGAAAATACAAAAATTAGCCAGGTGTGGTGGTGGGCGCTTGTAATCCCAGCTACTTGGGAGGATGAGACACAGAGAATCACTTAAACCCAGGAGATGGCGATTGCAGTGAGCCGAGATCATGCCATTGTACTCCAGCCTGGGTGACAGAGCAAGAGTCCATCTCCGAAAAAGAAAAAAGAAAAAATATATACACACACACAGGAAAAACTTTTTAAAAACCACTTTATCGAGGTATGATTGACATCATCTTGATGAGTCTAGGGACAAGTATACGCTCATGAAACCATCACCACCATAAAAGTCATAAACATATCCGTCACCTCCCAAAGTTTCCTCCCACCCTCTTTTTTTTTTTTTTTGAGACAGAGTTTCACTCTTGTTGCCCAGGCTGGAGTGCAATGCTGTGATCTCAGCTCACTGC